GTAATATACAAAATGCCATTTCATTACATAGGCCCTGTATACACATATCAATTGTACAGAATACAGTTCACGTGTACATCTTAAAAAATCTAGTGTTTACTAAGCCGCAGACAACAAATTTCATTTAACTTCTCAGACAGTACTCACATATGATGACATCACAGAATATTTTTCACACTAGTTGTTTCAATATGAACACACCTTTTATTAAAGAGCAAATGTTTGAAGGTACATACCCACAAAAAAAACAATGATCCACCCACTTTGAGGGTCAGTGTATTGAACCATTGAACACATTTCAATCAATCTCTCATCATTCCCGGAAACCAAAACACAAGATTTCATAACTTTTCTTTTTATCCACAGGACGTGCCGAGATGAAAGAACTCACCTTGAATTCCTAACACCGACAACACCACAATGAGATCCAACACGAACCAGTTCTATTTGCAGATTTTCTTTTCCCATCAACAGCAGAACAATTACTGTGTAGTCCCGCAACAAGGCCAATCAAAGCTGGTTACATAACCTAACCTTGCGTGTTGACCAATGCTGCAGCATTCATGTGTTTGTGTGACTGCCATGCACATGCAACCTTGGCGCCCGCTTTTATAAAGCTCTCAAATTTTTTTGAGTCACACCTGTGACTCTTCCATTTTTCGGCAACGGGGGTGTTGTTATTGCGGCTGAACTGGAGGGGATGTTTTGTTGGATTATGAAGGCAATTGCACGTGATTATCAGCCAGGTAATTTGTTTTAGGTGCAAGGTTTTTATTTTAAAAGAACACCATAATATTAGTCTTTTGTCATTTTTTTCTGAGGCCTTGTTGTTTTCTTCTTCTTTTTTTAAAACTTGGCTAGGAGAGGGAATTTTAATTTTGGAAGGGGTATCACTAACCACATTTGGAGTATTCGTATTACTGAAAGGAAATGTACAACATTTGCTTTTGCTGTAATTTTCAGAAATAAATGGATTTGGAGGAATAGTATGTTAAAGCAAATATTGTTACACTGACTTGTTTCACATCTTGGGTTCGTAGATGCTGGAAAACCAAGAAAACCAATCATGTTCTTGTAGTCTGGTTCCCTGACCCTTAAGATGAAAGGAAGCATTTTATAGACATTGCCGAATTATAAGGTCAGAGAATCAGTCTAGCTGGCTTGTACCCCCCTCACAGGTGTGTAGTCAATTGCAAAGAAAATAAGGAATTTACTGAATATGAAAAAGTAGGAGCAGTTTTTGAAAAAAAGCCAGTTTTTTCCAATGCTGGTCGGCCGACCAAAGCATTTCGTGGTAATTTGATAATTTTTTTTTGATGTTGGCAAAGGTTGTATCTTCCCTTTAAAAGCTTGTCAATAAATTGAAATGTGACTAATTTAAAATGGAGGATTTATACTTTATGTGTACATGAATATAGACGTGTGGGCATTTTTTCATTTGACATTACGCATACATGCAAAGGCATATGGGCTCATTTCTATATCATTCCTTCCTCCATGGTATTATGTACCAAAAAACCATACCATCTTTCAAGGAAATAATTTAGAACATCAACATTTTTAACTTCATGGTATTTAAGGATAATCAACACAGATCAAGTATACTGTTTTTTCTTTAACAGGAAGTGATATAAATAAATGTACTCAAATTTCAAAATATCTTGACCTTCACATCCCGATTTGGATGGCTGCAGTACAATGGGCAGTATATTGAACACCGGTTACGTGGGCTGAACGTCGCACATGGCTCGTCGCCCGTGGCTCACGTGGATTTTCGTGAACGTGCTCCGCACAGTAATTTGGTTAATCGTCAGAGAACAATGCCACGCTGAAAGGCTGCACCCACGCACACAGCGGTAAACAGATAAGGGCAATGTCAATTTGAAGCTGCTTTTTCGCCATGCTATTTTCGCCGGAGTTTCACCCTGACAAAACAGACTTTGTTTTTGAAATTGCTACTTTTCTAGCAATGCAAATATGTTCACATTTGAATGCGACATCAGACACCGTAAAAGACCCTCACTTAAATAATTATGGGTTATTGACTTTAAAAATTTTGAATTCTTTACAGCTTGACAATTATTCCAGCATATCTTTCTGTGCAAAAGGAACTCAAAACAAAGGGGTTATTTTCAGAGGCTTGAAAATGGCAGAAATAGAAAATGCCTGAAAATTTAAAAGCTTTGCTGTTGCAAAGTGTGTCCAATTGAACCCTCATATCAATGTTGCCCAATGTAAACAAATAAGGTTTTTGTCAAACAAAAACATTCCATACTTTAATCCTTATCCATTTGGTACAGCAACATGCCTCGATACTGATCAAGATTGTGGAAGCCAAACACTGCACCAGTGATAAAAGTTGAGGAATTTGTAAATACTGGCATCCACTTGTAATTGTTTTTCGTTGGGGAAAAAAATCAAAGTTGTAGTATACATGTTTCACCTTTTGAGATTGGAATAAAATGCAACTCAAGTATCACACAGGGCTGTCTAAGAGGGGTTTTGGGTGTGTCCCTTAATTTTTTTTTCATTTTTGGTCGTCAACTTTGTTTATAATGCAGCTGCTAGGCTAGTTACCGATGAAAATTCAAACACATACATAATGTACAGTATCACCGGTTTTGCATCAACTACATTAGCTGCCAGTGAAATTGCGTATAGATTTAAAAAATACTTCTTTTTACTTTTAAAGTTTTAAATGGTCTATCCATGGAGGAAGGAATCCGCCACAGTACATCAGTGATCTTGTTACATGTAGTGTGAAGAAAATGTCGGCAAATTGTTTAAAAGGTAAAGGTATCCCATAGCCATTATTGGCCGTAGGGGCAGTGGGATGTTAGAGGTCCACTGTGTCTTGGGCGCGGCATATGAGTGGCAGGGCCCAGTCCTCTCCTCTCGCCGTCTTACCTTCCCTGAACGAATCAGGTACCCATTTTACTGTTGGGTTGTCAGAGAGAGTTTTCCAGTTTTTGGTCCGAATGGAATTCGAACCGCTAACCTTCCATAGCCCCACACTCTAACTGCTCGGCTACAAGGCCTCTATATTATACACTGTTTCTGTTCCAACAAAAAAGTGTTTGGAAATTCCTAAGTGTCGAGTGTTAAAAACACTGGGGGTAGATGCTTTTCATCAGCATCCCCAGAATTATGCAATAAGTTGCCTGCTGACATTCAATATTCACGTGCAAAGTACGCACGACTTCCTGAATTGTGCCAAAGCTATTAGCCACAGCATTTTCGCTTGAGCGTCAGGCGTCATCGGCACGCGAATACGTTCGAATTGAACTTGCGATGGTCTCCCAGACTAATCCCCAACCCCAAAAACTTTGGATCATGCGAAATACGCAGTGGATGGATTGGGAACCAGGTCTCCCCCAACTCTTCTTTTCTGGCCCTTGAAGGAGTACTTGTGCACAGAGCCATTGGAGAACAAATTCCAGTTTTGAATCAAAGACTACATAAAATTCCAGCCATATTTTTTTAGGTCAACTCAATGCACACTATATACACCAACGACACATCCTTTCTAATTTTCTCATTTGGAAACAAATTTGTATGCCACTGTGGACAGCACCCGGACCAGACAGACAATTTGATAGCTCTTGTTTGTCCACATAATATGTCTGTCCTTCTGCAGTAAATGGCCGCTACATAATAATACACAAGGTTGGTAATGGCATATTGTGTTGTTTTGTCCTTCAGTTCTTTGTACGCCTGAAATTCAGTTATTTATGGAAGACTGGCGCTACGCCATGTGAGCCATGCAATTTGTTTAGTTCAGTGTTATGTAAATATTTGTCAAGCCAGCCCTGACTAAATGACTGAAATTAGCTTGCACAGATTTTGCAATTGTACAAGATGCGAAGACAGAAAATGAAAATAAGTATCTTGAAAACAAGAAGTTATGTTCTGTGAAAAAAGTACACGTGTACACGTACAATGTGTCTCAAACATCTAAAATTACCAGTATAGAGGTAAAGTAGGACCTGCGTTGCGTCATGGATACGCGTGGGAGCATCACACGTAATGCACACAAAAAATACACCTGAATTATTAATTAGGCCGCAAATAATTTCAACCTTTCTAAATAAAATATTCCTCAGCTCAATGTGGACGGATTTTTTTTTTTTTTTGGTGTCTCATTCAAAAGCAAATAACTTTTGTATTGCTTTTAAATGAGCGATTAAAAAAAACCAAAATATTTTAGGGGGTGAAACTCTAAAATTGCAAACTCAGGTCAGAGGGAAAATAACAATCTGCCATAAACAAAGCGGAAAGATCTGAAATGGGCTTGTCTGATTTTTGAAGCTTTACCCCTTGTTAACTACATCTGACACACTGATTCATCAGGTTAGTACTTTTTACTCCCTACCTCAGAGTATAGTTTCTACTTTCACAAATTGTGTCAAAATCGGACCCATATCGGAAATTCACACTTTTCTTCAAAGTTCTAAGGACGCAAACACCCACACTAATTTTGGAGGAAGACTAGTCTTTTGTGATTTACAGAATGCATAAATTATACCGTCTGCTTTATGGGAATTGTTCTGTCATGTCTGGGGTCACGAGTGGGGCATTTTGATCAGTCACGTGTGTGACATTTTGTAATTAAACTTATGCTAATTTATGCTCGGAAAGACAAACCTATGACACATCTTAAGAAATTTGCGTGTTTACTTACTATCAACACTGGTGCACACAATAATCATCACATCAAATTATTTTTTTCTCCAAAAACTAATTTAGTTTCAATTTCTGAAGAATCGCTAAAAAAAACCCCATGATATAGCCTAGTTCAACCATCAAATGCAACCTAGACAACGATGCCAACAAATACTGTACACAATATTTATATTCATTACATAGAATAACTTCAATCAGTCATTCACAAGGATGGCTGTCCCTGCTTATCACCAAATGACCTTGAAAATCTAGCGCACAATTAATACTCTCTTCTTCTGTGAGAGTAGATGGAAAAGAAAACTGCAACATTTACTCACCTCAATATGATAACAAGCGGTCAGCCGTTGACCATGTTGACTGCTAACATTCCTTCCACAACTCAGACAGGTAACTTGAAGAATGCAGGCTCTCCCAGCAATCTGTCTTCTCCTACGCACAAAAAAATCATACTGGAGAACATCAATGCATGTGATGTGGTGGCGACAAAAAACAACGATATGCACGTACTGCAGCATCACTTCACTTAATTCAGAGAGCTAGGCCAAAGACCTTTAAGACTAGTCCGGTGCCATCCCTCCCTCAGTACAAATCTGATGCAAGGAGATGTGGGCAACAAGACCGGTGCTAACCAAGACGCCACAAGGCCACATGAATAATTCATCAAGGCTGGACTGATTGCATCAAAACACAGTGGGAGAGTCCATTTGCCAATAGGGGAATTTTAGAAAGATGAGGGGAAGGTGGAACAGATAAAAAACAAGTCAGCATCCTGCCCGTCGTTGCTCATTGTTTGCTGCATCTTTGGAGCACACAATGTCTCTGGTCAATCATTAACCCTCCAACTATTTAAGAGGTCACAAACAGTCAAAATTTTCTTCCTCACCTCCTGGCATACTGTGTACAAACCAATGGGGGTCTTGACCAATATTGACCCGAGTAATAACAAGGCTCACAATGCACGTTTATGCAAAATGGAAATAATTACCTTTTGATAAGCATATTAAGATGTTTTTGCATGTTTATTTTGACACTTATTACTGCAGAAGTATCTACTGAATCATAAAGGAAGCCTTACACCTCAGTTGCTCTTTGTGCATTTTGTCTCACTGAAGCAACAAAATTGTTCAAAACCTAATGCTTGAATGTGAATTACCGTTATACCAGTACTATAAAGCAGAAAAGGTGTATTTGTGGACAAGCATTACATTCACTGTGTGGACTTCCGAACAAAGGATGTCCACATAAACCAGGTGGCAGTGACGTTGTGTGGACTTGCCCACGTCCACACAAGGTTTTCCCCTCTCTGGAAAACAGGTTTAGAGGCATTTTTGGGTAAGGTTTATCAGTGGCAAAATGAAGAGAAACACTAAATGGAATCATAGAAAAAAATTGGGTTGAACGAGTTTTCACAGTTTGAGAAAAATGATTTTTTTTCACTGGTTTTCCTTAACTACACGAAAACAAAGGAATGTCCACACTAGGTGTGTAAAACAAACATGGGTGTGTATTTGTGAGTTTGTCTTACAGTCACTATGTGGACATGTGAACAACAGATGTCCACATAATGCAGGTTGTGTTGACGTTATGTGGACTAAGCCATGTCCACATAACGTTTCGCCCTCTCTGGAAAACAGGTTTAGAGGCATTTTCGGGTTAGGGTTATCAGTCACAGAATGAAGAAAAACATTCAAGGAAATCAAAGAACAAATTGGGGGTTGAAAGAGTTTTCACAGTTTAAGTAAAGTTATTTTTTGTACCGAGTTTTCTTAACGACACAAAAACAAAGGAATGTCCACATAGCATATGTAAAACAAACATGGGTGTGTATTTGTGTGTACTGTTCAGGAGTTGCTCATGCAAATTATAGGCTGCTATGGTGGATGCACGTTCACTTTACTCATGCAAATTATGCTGCTAAGTTAATTGATCGTCCCCACGATGGGAGATCCCCCGCGAGGCTGGGACTCACCCACGAAGCTACCTCTGCAATGCAGCAGGCGAGGCGAAGTAAAGAAAACATACATGTACATGTATATATATGCACGACATTGTGGGTCTTGTTATGGAATTTCTGTTGCTATACATTTTCACTTAAGCCACGGATTTCCTCATCAAAATCGGAAGGTGCGTTTCTGGGTGATTACCAATGTTTCTACGTGCCTTTAAAGCTATAGTCCATCATTTGTAATTAGTGCATTTTGTTCGTTTGAAGCAACAAAAGTGTTCAAAATCTAATGAAGGATACTGGACAACTTACTTGATGAAGTTTCAGCTCAGCTTCAGCTTCATATTCCGAGAAAAACAGCAATCTAGGATCTCAATTTCAAATCAAAAGTTGCTAAATCATGTTTCGAATTGTTTTGAATGGCAGCTTTACGCGATGCTACGCACTGATCCAACGAATTATAGCAACCGCGCGCGCCTGTGCGTCGTTCCAATGCTTGTGCGCGCTGCGCCGAATAACAAAACGAACAACTAATTTAAATTTTCCTACGGTGCTTCTTAAGAAGCACCGTTGGAAATGCCTTCTTTCGTTGATTTCTTCAAAATGAGAGCTTGCCAGAAAGGATAATTTCACAGGGAGTTTAGTCCCCTTACTATCTTTCAACCAGTATGTTTTTCAACAATAATTACGCCGGTTACTTTTTTGGATAGCTGCAAATGATGGACTCGGGTTTTAAGAGAAACCTGCTAAATTGTCTTCTTCTTCTTCATTCATTTATTTTCATGATGACTGGGCCCAACTGTCCCTGTCGAGCATGGTGTTGGAAAGAGATGGACCACTCATTATAAGCATTAATTTCATGACATTTGTCTTACTGGGGGCATTGTAACTGTCTTGGCAAATGCCAATACTGCAGCACCTACAGGCACAGGTTTATCAACTGAACTTATAACAGCTAACAGTCCTGAATCCTCCAATTATAATATTATTTTGTACACCCCCTAGGGAGTTTGGGTATGATAAATATTTAACATGACATACAGATCCTTGTCATTTGATTGGTGGAGCTCACATCACATGACATTCATTATTGCTCCCATCACGCCAGGGCTAAAAAAAATCCCATCCTATTCAACAGTTAGGATCATCCCTGTTCCATGGCACGGTATTTGTGTGCAAATGCATGCTGATGTGCGCGTTGAGCCCAAGAGCCTTGTTCCCAAGAGCCACTAGCTAGCTACAGACATGGGTTCAAACATTTCATAAAGTGCTGGTTTGGAAAAGAAAAATACATTTCCCACCAATTTTGTATTGAAATAGAAGTTCATTTAAACTGCAAATCAAATAGCAAGGATCTATATGTCAGTTATATAAAACAACTAGGGGGGCCTATTGAGTTGCTTTAAATTGTGAAAGGGGAGGAATATTTTCGCTCGGTAAAATCTGGACTTTTTCATTTCACTCGGCTTTGCCTCGTGAAAATAGTCCTGGCTCTTTGTAAATTATTTTTCATTCTTCTATGAATATGATCATCCTGGATTTCTTTCCAAATCAGAGTAAACAACAAATCCTTGAGTAAAACAAAAACATTAAAAACTAGTGCTACAGAGAACAACCCTAGAAACGGGAATGGAATGTGCCGTCCAGTTTTCATCTTTCGGAGGCCCGCTCGCGCATTAAGAGCACTTAATTATTTTGGCCCAGGCATCCAAGGTACCATGATAGCTAGCATTGGTGATGACACATATGCACGCGTGTGCACGGTCACGTGCACGTACAGACTCTCCTGTGTAATACCCCGAAAATATCGCTAACGTAATCGCAGATCTTGCAGGGCCGAGCCGGTTCCCCTGATGACGGTTACCGGCATGGTAACTATGAGCAACGGGAGGTGGATAGCCGATAAAGAGAACAGGACTTGTCTTTTTTTTTCCTCTCTTGTATAAATGTCACAAGATGTGATGATTATGATGGAACAGATATTAAATGTAGATGCTTTGGGAAAATAAAAAAACAAAAAAGGAACATAAAAAAAATTTGGCCTGGAAGATTCTGGAATCACGATTCGGGGGAGAGATGTTAATTACCAGATTCTGATTAGAGAAACTGATATTATCTAATGGTTTCCAAGTAAAATGCATCAAAGTGGAGTTAATTCATTGAAATGAACATTTTAATTTTAGGGGCGGGAGACAGATAATTGAAATGGAGAATATTGAAACGTTATACGGTGAACAACTTGATACTCAATCACCAAGTTTTCAGAAGTTGCAAAAAATATCATGAATATATTGCACAAAATCTCAGCAATTCACACAAAATCATTAAAAACACAATATTTTTGTTTTGAAAACCTGTTTTTAAGAAAATTATAAATTTGCATTTTAAACTGTGGTACCCATATGATACATGTATGTGTTTTTTCTTCTAATTCAATAATGGAACACTTTTTGGGAGAATGTGCTCTTTTAGGCTCGACAACTGTTTAAAGGGATATTACCGCCTGGAATCCTTGAAAATCTTATGTTTTGGATTGTTTACTTATCCTAGATTTCAAAGGCTGGTTGAAAGGCAACTAACCTAATGCCTTGCAGTTTACCAAAGTTTACCGTGGTACACGTTGTGTGTGTCACACATTATACAGATAGCACCGTCGGAAAAATCGTCTGTCCATCAGCAAATTTGCAGGGATGAAGAGCGCCACTTCTTGTCCGATAGTGTCAATGATTGTTCGGTTTGTAACAGTGCCCCCTACCAGAAGATTGTGCCCCCCCCCCCTTCAATTTTCCGGAGGACGGAAGGCCGGTGCAAATCCTGTTTACCTTTTACCACGGATGGTCCGTGAATTTATAAGCGAGACAAACATTATATTTACAACGGGCGAACAAAACCCTGGTTACGCAACTGAATGTAAGACATCATGTGGAATTTCCGTCACCAGACCTTTACAAAAAAGCAAAGAAATGTACTACATGAGATTTTTGTGCAATCTGGCCAAATGTGCATCATACCCCACACACCGATAATTACGCACGCTTCGTGACATCAGGTTTGTATTTGAAAATGTCCCTTACTTATTCTCGTGCAGCACGTCGTCGGTCTGAATTGGCGTCACAAATCCTCTTGCTCGGAATGGGATCTTATTTGTCCAGAAGGATCTGGTGATTCGGGCAGCATCGTAAACACGGTGGGCTGATTTAAACGCGATATCGTTTTTCAATTCATGAAATGGTTCCCCCTGGCGCGTGCATGACCGACTCTGCATAAATGATTGCCCGATTTGATGCAGTTGACGTTTGATGTGGTTTATGAAAAATTCATAAATGTCAGCTTTAGAAATGACAAGATAATGGGAAAAAAAAACAAAAAAACAAAACAAGGTAGAAAGAAAATGTTTCATTTGCAATTCATGATAAAAATGCAACTAGTTCACAAATGTTAAATCTAAAAAAAATTCAATATGCTTAATACACTTAGGCCTATC